TTTACTAAAATAATTATATACTTATTCACAGATTCATCTAAATTAAACTTTTGTTGATATTTGTACAAATCTAGTTCTTGCTGTAGCTTTCTACTAGATTAGTTCTCTAAGATTCTAGTTAAATATTTTATAAGATAGATCTTCCTAATCTAGTTAGCTACTAAGCTAAGTTAGTATTACTACTTATTCAAGATACTAGACTATATTATAAAGTAGACTTACTTATACCTACTTGATTTACATCTTTCATATATAGATTTTTTCACTAGATCAAGCATTAATTAGTATGACTATTAAAATTTATACTACTGTACCAAACTCAAGATTTCTACAATATAGATTCTCTGTCTGTAGATCCTATCAAGATTTATTTATATAATATAACTTGAATATTATATTATACTTCTAATATCTAATTAATATTGATACAATATGATTTATAGAGTTATAATTCTCAAAAATAGATAGAGTTTATTGTAAGTTAAGTATAAAAGTTTAGGTAATTATTCAAATTTATTAATAGTAAGATTTGAACCTCAGATCTCTTGTATAGTAGTTTGAAAATCTAATTACTATACTAAGATCATTAGATCTTAGAAACATTATTTATATAGTACAAGATATAGAATTATTAATAATAAACTTATTGTTCTGCTCACAATATTATTAAGCTTATGAGCTGGTAGTAGCCTTCTTTTGATAGAGTCTAAACAGGTATGTATAAACATATGTTTAGTCTCAGGAGGAAAATGCTACTATTGCAGATTGCATCTGGGCATCTTTTAGACAGCTGAGTGAGTTCAGAATTGCAATAAGGAGAGCAGTTTTAAAAGTAGAATAATTTTTTTTTTCTTTTATTATGTACCTGTCTAAATATTTTTTAATATTTCTCCTAATAAAATAAAGGACAAGATCGCCTAAATAAAAAAAAAAAAAAATATATATATATATATATATTATTAAGCTTAGTATATTCAAAATAATATTATAATATTATTAATTCTTTTATCTATTAAGTATTATTATAACTTACTTTATATATTTTAAAATATCTAATCATAGATTAGAAAATCATAGTTTATATAAATTTAAAATTTTTGATTTAAACTAAAGTATAGTTTCTATTTATATTTTATTCTAATAATTTATTAAAGATATTTTAGCTACTGAAGATTAATAACCTATTAAAACTAAATTAATTAATTAATACTTTATTATTATATCAAAAAAATTTGAATTGTAATTCAAAACCTTTATATAAATAGTTTTTTTTAATTATATAATATAATATTCTGTATTAATACTAAATAAACAATATTTTACTAATTTAATAATTATTCTATCTAATCTAACTTTAAATAGTCTTATTTAGTTTTAAACTATGGTTTAGTCTAGTTATTTTAAAAAACTACTAGTTTTTAAACTAAACTAAACCAAATAGATCAATTAACAACTCTAATTATAAACAAATTATTTGTTAATAAGTAGATAATCTGTTAATAAACAAATTATTTGTTAATAAAAGATCATTTATCAATAAATAGATCAATTAACTTTTATCTAATTAGCTAATATAAATATACTTTTGCACTTTATAGTATTAAATAATAAATTTTTTTTTACAAAATATAATTTGATTAATTAATTATCATAATTATCTAAAATACTCAAAGAGTAATTTGTTTTAGTTAAATAGCTAGTTTTAGTTTTAAATATCTAGTTAGAAAAGATAATTAACTTAATAGATAATGAATAAGAATTTGTAAACTAGTTTAAAAACTCTAGTTAGAGCTTTATATTTTAATAACTACTATAGTTTTTTCTTTCTTCTTATTTTGTTTTAATTTATAGATAATATTTTATATATAAATACAAGTTCTTATATATACATCTTATCAAAAAAAGCTTCTTATAATTAGACTTATATCTCTTATAATTAAACTTCTATATTTATACTAGTTAAAAATATATAGTTACTAGACAAGTATTAGAGAAACTACTAAACTTCTAAAATAAAAACAAAAAAAAAATTTTTGCTCTATATTAGTATTAGTGATTAATAAGAAAAGTTAAAATTTATTATTCAAAAACTATTTAATAAAAATAAGAAAATTTCTTAATAAAATTTATAAAATATATTTTTAATAATATATTCTATATATAATATAGATCTTATATTATTATTGTTTTATTAAATTATATTAATATTTATAAAAACTTTTTAAAAATTCAAGCAAATTTGCCTAAAAAATGATTTAAAAGATAAGTTAATTTGTGAGTTAACCTATGAGTTAAATTACAAGTTGACTTATGAGTTGATCTATTAGTTGATTTATAAGTTAACTTATAAATTAATTTATAAGTTAACTATAGATTAACTTATAAATTAATATACAAATTAACTCATGAATTAATTTGTAGATTAACTTACTAGTTGATTTATAGATTAACTTATGAATTGACTAATAGATTAATCTGCAAGTTAACTTATAAGTTGATCTGTAGGTTGATCTTTAGTATAGGTAGGCACCTATAAAAAATTATAATAAAAATTCCTATACGGATCTCCTTTAGTAAAGGTGGGCAAACTCCGATTAGTTATACATGATTGCATGATACGTACAATAGGTTAATTAAAATTAAATAAGCTAACTCATGCTGATCAGAGTCAATTTGAGTTAAATATTTAACTACGTTTAACTCATGAAGATCGGCAATTTGAGTTAACGTTTAAACTCATGTAGATCGGCAATCACAGATTAGATAATTAGACGTTTATTTTTTTTTTTTTAGAGCTAGAAAGCTTCGATTTCGGGTAAGTATATTTGTGTTGTTTTCTCTTTCTTGTAAATTCGTTCACTAACGCCCTTTTTTTTTTCCGGTGCTTTTCTCTTGGGATGATTTGGAATTGGACTTTCGGCTCTCGGTGGGTATATTACTTTGATTGTTGAATTTCTTGCTTGTAAAATTCGTTTACTAACGCCCATTTTTTTTTCCAGTGTTTCTCTCTTGGGATAATTTGGAATTGGATTTTCGGCTCTAGGTGGGTATATCTACTTCGATTATTGGATTACTTGCTTGTAAAATTCGTTTACTAACGCTCTTTTTTTTTTTTTCCGGTACTTCTTTCTTGGGATGATTTGTAATTGAATTTTCGGCTCTGGGTGGGCATATCTACTCGATTGTTGAATTTCTTGCTTGTAAAATTTGGTTACTAATGCCCATTTTTTTTTTGCTAGTGTTTCTCTCTTGGGATGATTTGGAATTGGATTTTCGGCTCTGAGTGGGTATATCTACTTCGATTGTTGGATTTCTTCAATTGTTGGATTTCTTGCTTGTAAAATTCGTTTACTAACGCCCTTTTTTTTTTTTTCCAGTACTTCTTTCTTGGGATGATTTTGAATTGGATTTTCGGCTCTGGGTGGGTATATCTACTCGATTGTTGGATTTCTTGCTTGTAAAATTCGTTTACTAGCGCCCTTTTTTTTTTCCAGTGTTTTTCTCTTGGGATGATTTGGAATTGGATTTTCAGCTCTGGATGGGTATATCTACTTCGATTGTTGGATTTCTTGCTTGTAAATTCATTTACTAACGCCCTTTTTTTTTTCGGTACTTCTTTCTTGGGATGATTTGGAATTGGATTTTTGGCTCTAGGTAGGTATATCTACTTCGATTGTTGGATTTCTTGCTTGTAAAATTTGTTTACTAACGCCAATTTTTTTTTTTTTCCGGTACTTCTTTCTTGGGATGATTTGTAATTGAATTTTCGGCTCTGGGTGGGTATATCTACTCGATTGTTGGATTTCTTGCTTGTAAAATTCGTTCACTAGCGCCCTTTTTTTTTTTCTGGTATTTCTCTCTTGGAATGATTTGGAATTGGATTTTCGGCTCTGGGTGGGTATATCTACTTCGATTGTTAGATTTCTTGCTTGTAAAATTCGTTTACTAATGCCCATTTTTTTTTTCCAGTGTTTCTCTCTTGGGATGATTTGGAATTGGATTTTCGGCTCTTGGTGGGTATATCTACTTCGATTGTTGGATTTCTTGCTTGTAAAATTTGTTTACTAACGCCCTTTTTTTTTTTTTTCTGGTATTTCTTTCTTGGGATGATTTGTAATTGAATTTTCGGCTCTGGGTAGGTATATCTACTCGATTGTTGGATTTCTTGCTTGTAAAATTCATTTACTAGTGCCTTTTTTTTTTTTGCTAGTACTTATATTTACTTCAATTGTTGGTTTTCTTGCTTGTAAAATTCAAATTCGTTTACTAATGTAATGTTGTTAGCTGAAATACAATATTTCGTCAGACATTTAAACATTTAAGTGCTTAAATATATTTCGACATGACATACTATTAGTGATAATTAGCGATGTAATAAGATTATCCCGAAGTTACAGTAAAATACATATGGGTCAGTACACAGCAAAACGAGGTTTAGAGACATTTTGATCAATGTCGTAATTTTTACTGGATAATATTTCTAAATATGTGATTTATTCACAATAAATTTTTAGCTCGCATTAGCATAATAAAATTTTGTACAATTTTATATGCAGTGTTTTTTTTATCTATATATTATATTTAAAATTTAATTAATTAAATATTGATATCTACAAATAAAAAATTCGTCCCGAAGCTCTTTTTTGTTGTGTACTGACCCATATGGGTTTCTGTTCACATTGTAATATAATAAAAAATTAATTTGTAGCATAACTTTTATTTAATTATAAGTAATAATAATAAATTAATTATTTAAGCATAACAAACAGTATGTCACATACACATAGGGCATAGTAATACGTATGCGGCCATTTACTGCGCTGATGCCAATTGTTTGAAATTGATTACCGTATATATTAATCTACTAATCGAATATCGTATGTAAACAATTATGCAATAATATGATATGCATGCATTGAATTGTTATTCTGGTCAATTAATTCTAATATAAAATAGATCAAGAACGACAATTTTTAAATGGCCAGTATATTACTATATATTTATTCAGGATCGGGATAACTTGTGGTTTTTAAAGCATTAATAAAACCACCCCATATATTATTTTTATTTTTTTTTCTCCATACGAATTCATGGAGGTGGTTGGTGACTTCATCCTTGGTCCTATCACGAGCTGGGATTCTCAATTTCAAACCATTCCACAATCCTTCAATAGTATTAGTATGAACACCAGTTACAGGGTCTACGAAGTTAACTGAATGGTTAACTACATTATGGGTCATACTTAAACCTTCAAGCCTATTATACCCCTACCACATGTCTGTATATACTATAGAGCCTTCCAAAATATGTCGGGATATAACTTCAAGTAAGGTATCAGCAGTCCTATCGGCAACTACTTCTACGAAGCATCCTTTTTCCTCTGTCCGTTCGACTCCACCAATTACCCACACCCCATCAACTCGATGACCTCGATGATATTTTCTTTTACCCATTTTAGTCTCATCGATTTCGACGATTACATTAGGTCCGCCAATCATGTTATCGTCATCTTCAAGGGTGCTAGCAACCATTTCCCTAAACAATCTCATATAACTTGTAATGGTTGCCGACGAATGACCTGTCATACTTAATATACTTGTATATGTAACTTTATTTAACTAAAAATAGCCGATTAACATGGTATCAGAGCATTTTAGACAGTTTTTTGCAAAAAAGGAATCTTTTAATATTGAAAAGGATTTATGGCATGAACGATTAATGCATCGATGAAGTTTTTTTTCATGGTAGAGTGGGGAATTGCAAGAAGAACAAGATCGCGGGTTGTATAATATATCTTTATTGAATATATAGTCAATGCATTCATCCTCATCAAAAAAAATCTTTTGAAGAAATTTTAAAGTAGAGGATGCAACTACGATAGACATGTTTAAAATTTTTTTTGTTTTTTTTTACTGCAGCTGTTAAACTGGAGATTAATAAACAAAATCGAAAATGACCCTAATAGTGTACAGAAAATAAATAGTGAACTAGCTGAGCAAAATGACATCATACAGCAAAGACGTTGATATCAATAGCATTGAAATTAATGTGATTTAATGACAAGTAACGCTATTAAGAGTGATAATAAAGTGATGATCATAAGAACAGTAATGATGGTTTGGTAATATATCAATAAGGATGATGTTAAAGCAGAAGATGATCACATACGTAAGTTCAGTAATAATTTAAGTTTACATGATAAAGTACTGGCAAAAAAAAAAAAAATGGGCGTTAGTAACTGAATTTTACAAGCAAGAAATCCAACAATTAAAGTAATATACCCACCCAGAGCTGAAAATCCAATTCCAAATCATCCCAAGAAAGAAACAGCGGAAAAAAAAAATGGGAGTTTGTAAACGAATTTTACAAGCAAGAAATCCAACAATCGAAGTAGATCTACCCACGCAGAGCCGAAAATCCAATTCCAAATCATCCCAAGAGAGAAACACTGGAAAAAAAAAGGGCGTTAGTAAACGAATTTTACAAGCAAGAAATCCAACAATCGAAGTAGATCTACCCACCCAGAGCCGAAAATTCAATTCCAAATCATCCCAAGAGAGAAATACTGGAAAAAAAAAATAGGCATTAGTAACCGAATTTTACAAGCAAGAAATCTAACAATCAAAGTAATATACCCACCCAGAGCCAAAAATCCAATTCCAAATCATCCCAAGAGAGAAACACTGGAAAAAAAAGAATGGGCATTTGTAAACGAATTTTGCAAGCAAGAAATCCAATAATCGAAGTAGATATACCTACCCAGAGCCGAAAATCTAATTCCAAATCATCCTAAGAGAGAAACACTGGCAAAAAAAAAATAGGCGTTAGTAAACGAATTTACAAGCAAGAAATCCAACAATCGAAGTAGATATACCCACACAGAGCCGAAAATCCAATTCCAAAACATCCCAAGAGAGAAACACCGGAAAAAAAAAAAAGGGCGTTAGTAAACGAATTTTACAAGCAAGAAATCTAACAATCGAAGTAGATATACCCACCCAGAGCCGAAAATTCAATTACAAATCATTCCAAGAAAGAAGTACTGGCAAAAAAAAAATAGGCGTTAGTAAACGAATTTTACAAGCAAGAAATCCAACAATAGAAGTAGATATACCCACTCAGAGCTGAAAATCCAATTCCAAATCATCTCAAGAAAGAAGTACCGGAAAAAAAAAAAGGGCATTAGTAAACGAATTTTACAAGCAAGAAATCCAACAATCGAAGAAATCCAACAATCGAAGTAGATATACCCACTCAGAGCTGAAAATCCAATTCCAAATCATCCCAAGAGAGAAACACCGGAAAAAAAAAATGGGCGTTAGTAAACGAATTTTACAAGCAAGAAATCCAACAATCGAAGTAGATATACCCACCCAGAGCCGAAAATCCAATTCCAAATCATCCCAAGAGAGAAACACCGGCAAAAAAAAAAGGGAGTTAGTAAACGAATTTTACAAGCAAGAAATCCAACAATCGAAGTAAATATACCCACCCAGAGCCGAAAATCCAATTCCAAATCATCCCAAGAGAGAAACACTGAAAAAAAAAAAGAGCGTTAGTGAACGAATTTTACAAGAAAACGAAAATAACAAATATACTTACCTGAAATCGAAGCTTTCTAGTTCCCAACAAAAAAATAAACGTCTAATTATCTAATCTGTTATTGCCGATCTACATGAGTTTAGACGTAGTTAAATGTTTAACTCAAATTGACTCGAAATTGCTGATCTGCATGAATTAAACATAGTTAAATATTTAACTCAAATTGACTCACATGAGTTAAATATTTAAATATTTAATTTCGGTTAGCATAAGTTAGTTTATTTAATTTTATTTAACTATGCGATACTCATCGGAGTTTGCCCACCTTCACTAAAGATCACCCTTAGGGAAGCGTGCCCACCTATACTAAAGGAGATCCGATCTGTAAATTGATCTATAGATCAATCTATAAATTAATTTATAAATTAATTTGTAAGTTTAAATCTATAAGTTGATTTACAAATTAACTTATAAGTTGATTTATAGATTAATTTACTAGTTAATTTATAAGTTAATCTATAGGTTGACTTATAAATTAACTCAATAGTTAACTAATAGATTGATCACAAGTTAACCTATATATTAATCTATAAGTTGATCTATGAGTTGATTTATAAGTTAACTTATAAGTTAATTCATAAGCTAATTTATAAGTTGACTTACTAGTTAATTCATAGATTAATCTATAGATTAACCTACAAGTTAACCTATGAGTTGATCTATAAGGTGATCTATAGGTTAACCTATGAGTTGACTCATAAGTTAACTCTTAGGTTAATCTACTAGTTGACTTATAGGTTAATCTATAGGTTGATCTATGAATTAATCTAAGTTGATTTATAGATTGATTTATAGGCTAACTCATAAGCTAACCTATAAGTTGACCTGTAGGTTGACCAACTGGTTGACTTATAGGGTATACAGAGCTATGCTAAAGAATGAAAATATGCTTAAATATCATATGAAAATGATGTATCATACCTATGTGATGTTTAGCTTAACCTAAACCTAGTATTGCAATATATTTTTGAAGAGGCTTATTTCTTTACTATGTTTCTTTATTTACGATCAAAGATTCTGTTCTTAAAAAGATAATACTAATGATATTATATAGACTTGATATATTGCCTTAGAATTAAACAACCTAGATAATGTCATAACAAATTTCATCTGGTGAATTAATAAAAAAATAGATATGATTAAAAAAATTGTTTTTTTCGTTTCATTATCGGAGACTGTTTAAGAACCAGTCTTAAGATTTCTTTACGTGCCAGTAAGGACTAGTGCTGCAAATAGTAATTGCGACTTTAACTGTAATTGAGTTGCAACTATAAAATCATTGCAAATTACTAAAATTCTTAATTATCTCATAATTTTTTACTATTACGTTACTATTATGTATATATTTTATTACCCAATTCTGTAGTTTATTTCCCAATTATGAAAATATTATTATTTTTATTACTCCATGTTTATTATATTTTATTACATTTTCGTTATGTATTTATTACTACATTACCTTTATAATTTTTCCCACCCGATACATAGAGTCTCTATAATTGCTCTTCCACAATTTATGCAGTTCCTTGAATAAAACCTAACCCAACTTTATGTCAACGGTACTGTCTAAATTGGCCCAAGTTCCTTAAATGCTCTCCCGTACCGGCATCAAAAATTTACTAACGCTAATAAAAGTTACATAAATTACATGATTTTTGTAATCTTACGACCCTACGTAATATAGCAACCTTGCGACCTTGCGGCCTTATCTTTTTTTTGCAGCATAAGAGAGGTCACAAAGGTTGCAAAAGTCGCAACTGGGTTATAATTGATGCAAAGCTGCGACTTTGTAGCAAGCAATACTAGTGAGGGCTGTTTCATAACCAGTCAAGGACTGTATTAGGCCTAGAAAATTTCAGTATCATTACGTAAAAATTGTTTTGGGTATTAGGTATCAAGTAAAAAATGTTTTTATATTGCGATATAAAAAAAGACTATTGACTAATCAAATCAAGAATTTTAACGAGTAGATAAGGAAACTTTGCTTTTTATTATATACAATATTTGAAATATGTAGTAATTCTATTTTCAGTTACAGTATTACATATTATTCTGCTACGTATTTAATTACAATATGACAGGATGAAACCTGAGATGTTTAGGTTACCTTTTTGATGCATTTGATGCAGATTTTTAATTTTATTAGGGTTATGATTAGAAAAGTACTATATTAGGTGTGATCTGTATCAATAAAATCCCAACTCAGGTTTCACCCTGTCATATTACAATTACTATGTTCGAGACCCCATATGAAGTTGTATTCAAAGTTTAAGAGAAATTGTAATTCTGGTTTTATTATGATTATTATAACTTTTATCGTTTTGGTCCTCCTGGTTATTACTATTGTCCTCCTGGTTACTGGTATTATGGTCCTCCCGGTTATCACATCCTGGCTATTACGGACCTCCTAGTTATTTTGGGTCTGATTATTACAGTTCTGATTACTATGGTACTTCTGGTTATTTTGGACCTGGTTATTATAGTCCTAGTTACCACAGTCTTCCCGGTTATTTTGGACCTGGTAGTTATTACTCTGGTTCTGGTTGGCCTGATTCTAGTTGTCCTAGTTGGCCTGGTCAATATTACTCTAGTTGACCTAGTCGGTATTACTCTGGTTGGCCTGATTCTAGTTGTCCTGGTTGGCCTGGTCAATATTACTCTAGTTGGCCTAGTCGTTATTACTCTGGCTGGTCTGATTCTAGTTTTCCTGTTGGCCTAGTCAATATTACTCTAGTTGGCCTAGTCATTATTACTCTGGTTGGCCTGTTCAAGAATACTCTGGTTGGCCTGATTGTTACATTCTAGTTACTACGATCCTCCTGGTCAGTGTATAAAATTAATGTGCTCAAATGCACATGTTTTTTAGTTTTTACTAATAAATTGTCTTGTGCGCATTTTTGTAATTTAGATTTTATATGTTTACGTTACATCAAATAGGGATAAGCTATTGGCTAATTTTCTGGCAATGAAGATCAGTGATCACGTGTGCGGACAATCCCCCTACACGCTGGTTATTCCGATGATTACTGTCTTCCCGGTTACTATGATCCTCCTAGTTAGGGATGTTAACAGTCTGGTCTGGTTTAGTCTAGTCTATTTTGGTCCAGTTCTGGTCTGGTCTATTATGGTCTCCAGTTTTAAGACTTTGTTAGTCCAGACCAATCCAGACCGGTCCGGTCTTAAGACTTAAAACGGACCAATTTTTTTTGGTTCAAGCCGGTCCTATGATAGACTGCAGTCTATTGGTTCAAGACCAGATCAGATAACATCCCTACTCCTGGTTATTTTGGACCTGGTTATTACAGCTCTAGTTACTACGGTCCTCCCGGTTATTTTAAGGTTATTTTGAACCTGATTATTACAGTCCTAGTTACTACGATCCTCCTGGTTATTTTGGTCCTGATTCTTCAGGTTATTTTGGACCTGGTTATTACGGTCCTGATTATTACAGTTAGTGATGGGCAAATTGCAGGTTTTCCAAATATCCCACGAGGGATGCGGGATCCACGCGTGATCTTTGGCCCAAATTATGTTAATGCGAGCCAGCTAGTTGGAATTTGAAAAAATCTTGTGCGGAATCCCGCGCGTTGCTCATCACTAGTTACAGTCCTCCCAATTATTTTGGACCTGGTTATTACGGTCCTAGTTACTACGGTCCTCCTGGTTATTTTGGTCCTGATTATTACAGTTCTTCAGGTTATTTTGGACCTGGTTATTACAGTCCTCCTGGTAATTTTGGACCTGGTTATTTTGGTCCTCCTGATTACCGATATTACGGTCCTCCTGGTTAAGTTGTTTTAACATTCTTCTTATTTTAAATATTTTGTCGTTGTCATATTTCCAATTATACGGCTTGCTTTGATTTTGGTTTATTTATAGATGTTGATATCAGAAGATCTGATTTCTAACTGTTGTTTAAAAATATTCATGATGTTCGATATATCTTGGCCGGAAAATCCAATCGTTCTGAACTATAGTTGTTAGGCGAAACTATGTGATGCTAATCATCGCATAGCCACAAATAGTAACATATGAATTCACATGTTAATAGCACTAATATTATTAACATGTGGCTATGTGATGATTAGCATCACATAGTTTCGCCTAACAACTATATTCTGAACATATATTTGAAGATATGTCTTTCATCAGACGGAAATAAGCCAAACGAAATGCGTTATAGGTTTTATTTGCAATCTGCTTGTCAAGCAAATACATGTATACATAGTACAGTATAAAAGGATCGATAGTATAATTATTCATTTGCATATCAGGTAGGAAGAGCAGACTTGAGTTGCCGAGTTAGCAGAAAAAACAAACGCCGAAGTCTAATCCGATACCTATATATACTTACCGGTTC